ATCAGGAAGGATACCTCATGCAAAATCTTCTTACCTTCCCTTGTTCGAAACCAACACTTGACACGATCAACATACTGCGAGACAGTGATCGTGCTTTTGTCATCCAGAACAGACGTGATAGGTCTAGTCAGGTTTTTCACCTTCATTCCGAGATGCAACTTACGGATTGCCTTCTCGGATATAGGATCGCGTAGATCTTGAGTCCAACAGTACACCTACTCGTGTACGTGCGATCTCTATATCCGCGAGTAGTAAGTCACCCTTAGATTTTGATTTCTTAGCCCACGAGCTTTGTAATGCCAGCAACTCGGTACCAAACTTGTCAAGAGAGTCGTCCAGAGAGACAGTGCATAAGATAGGTTCAGGGTGATCTGGACGATGGGCCGAAAAAGAACCATCCTCTGCCGTGCGAGTCGAAGGGTTGGAAGGGGTCGTCGGCGCCTTACCTTCTTTGTCCAAACCCTTCAACTCAGTAGGAGCAGATGCTACTCCTACTGGGTGCTCACTTTTGGGTATCGAATCTGTGGGCACCATGCAATCACATGCCCTGCGATGCCACACTTCAGACATTGTGCATTGTTCATTCTTTCTTGCCATAATTCCTGTGATATCCCCATTTTCTCCCACGGCTTCCCGGCCGCAATTCCGGGATGCTCAGAGAACGAGCGTGGTTTCTTTTTCTTTCCTGGTGGTCGTGGTTCTCCCTTGTTGACCACTGTGGCAGTGACTTCCCCCTTCCCGGACTCACAGCTGCTTGTCACACCCTCGGCCTCCAATGGCCACTTCTCCACAGTATCGTCATCAAAGATGACGAGGGTGTGGTCCTGGCGCTTTTAGCGCCAAAGTACCCGCTTTCCTACACCTTCACTTCCACCTCCACCATACTTCACCACGGAAGCATACGAATTCTTTACCTGTGAAGTCATTTGCTCTCGTTGGAGAGCCAGATCGCGAAACTGCCTGTAGTTGTACTTGCCGGATTTAGAATCTGCCACGAGCTGTCCACGAATAGGCTCGGGCAGAGCGCGGGAGTAGATATAAAGGACTTGGTTGTCTTGCAGGTTCAATCCAGGAACCTGCAGCAACCGATCTACTTCCCGAGACAAAGATTCTACCGAGGTCCAATGTCTTTGGCCAATGGTAGTAAGCTGGTCAAAGGCCTTGTCGGCCGTTGTTTTGTCCAGGAAGCGTTCCCTGATCTTTCCAAGGAACTGCTTCAGATTCATGGTTCCAGCCCACTCCCCACTCTCCTCGAAACCCTGTTGCGTTAGCTTCTGCCAATACCCATTCTTTTGCTTCCCCTTCAAGACACGAAGTAGAAAACGCAACTTGAGAGTCAGGTTCAACAGGAGACGTTTTACAGTAAGTCTGAATCTCAGCAATCCACAGCAACAAGTTTTCATCCTTCTTGTTGCAGAACGTAAAAGGCATTTCATCTTTACTTTCTCCTTCTTCTTTGGCTTTTCAGGTTCTGCAGTTACCTTATCCTTAGGAGGAGGAGACTTCGGAGGTGGACTTCAGAGGTGGAGAGGAAGGAGGAGATCTTGGTGGAGAAGACGGCGGACTCAAAGATTCCCCTTTCTTTGTTTCTGGTTTCTTTTCCGTCTTCTCGGTTTCTACCTTGAGAGACTTCATTGCGTCTCCAAGCAATTTGTTTGGCTTCTCTTCCTTTCTGGTTTCGCTTTCCTCCGTCACATATTGTTTTCCTTTGACCAGGTTCGTGATTGTTTGTAATCCCGCGACCATATCATCAATCCTTGCATTAGTCTGGTCAATTTTCATCTCCATGTGAGCGAGGTAAGTCACAAGTTGGGCCAAAGAGATTGCCTGTTCTTCCCCTTCAGTGTGAATGACAATTTGTCTAATTTCTTCCACTTTTTGTTCTTGCTGTACATTTCTTTCTTTACGTCTTCTCATTTCTTGTTTCCTCTTCTTTTCTTTCTCAAGTGCTTCTTCCAATTGTCTGATGTTCTCATCCATGGTTTCTTCAGTCACATCAACTTCTTTCTCTTCCTTCTGTTCTGAGATCTTTGCAAGTTGTTCCACAATAATCTTGTCAAGTGTCTAACGACACTTAATGAGTTCATTCTGAACCTTCAAGACGTCTGTGCCAGTCTCAGCTGATTCGAGAGCAGCATGAATTGCTTTCAAATCAAACTGGGCACGGACTTGTGCCTCTATTTCAGCACCAGCGTCATGGAGTTCAGATATCAGTTGATCCAAACGACCAATCAAGATTCTTTTTCGCTCTTCAACTTGCTGTCTGGTTCGGGGGTCAGGAGTCCCCTCATCAATAGCGAAGGTGAGTGAGACTGGGAAGAAAAAGAAAGGAATGAAACAAGTGAGAACCGACAATTTCAGACAATTCCAGAAATGAGACATGTGATGTGCGTCTGCCGCACAATAAATACTTGATAACAATAATAAATTCCACGGTCGCACCGATCTACAACAACAAGATTTCTAATCATTGAAGGGAAAAGAATCCGATACAATTATTTCTATTTCTAACTATTGCTGTTTTTTTGTCTGCCTGTGTGATGACGTCCTAAGCAAGAGTGTACAGGTACAGCATCAGGCCCGTGTGATCAGACACAGCACACAAGTACGCAAACACCACACACAACAACAACACGTAAGTATGCCAACAACAATCACAAACAGTTTGTCAGCAACCTTCGTCAGTCTGCTGTGTCTTCTTGATGTCAGTGCGATCACGCACTCCCCCTGACAGCTGGCACTACAACTGTGTAATTCGTCCAGTCAGTTGTACCGCCGTCGTCTTTAGAGTGCACCTCTTACTTGGCAGTATCTTGTCTGCCACGTGTCATCCCTGGAGTGCCAACATAGCAATGTTGCCACGTCAGCACTTCGTCCAGTCTGTCAATAATGGGATGCCACGTCAGCAAATGTGTAGTCCGATCCTCGCCACGTGCCTCTTCCATACGTCACGTGAGATACCGTCGTCGTTCCAGCCAGTCAGATTATGCCTCGTCAGCCAAGGAGATCAATGCCACGCCAGCAGGCAGACACCACCTCATGAGACAAGTGTGATGACCTGCTCGTGCCACGTCAACAATTAATCTTTCCTCCAGGCCACGTCAGCATCTGCAGTAGACCCCGTCGTGTCAGCAGCACAAGGAGTGCCATATCAGCAATCAACAGGGTCTTCAGACGCAGCACGATGTGTGCCACGTCAGCGTGGGATCGCGATGCTGCGTCACTATCGTGATCCTGGCTGGCGTGCGGTATCCCTTGTTGCGATCCCTACTGCCACGTCAGCAGCCTAGTAGGGATGTCTTCTCGCCAACAGAGCCTGTACCTCGTCAGCTGCTTCGTCAGGTCTTCTTGCCAGTGACCCCGTACTTCGTCAGCAATCCCCGGCACTGTCTTCTCGCCAAAGAGGTATGTACCACGTCAATATCCCCAGCATATCCCTTGCCACGTCATCAACTACTCAACCTTACTTACCTGGCGCGTACTCAATATACAAATGTCGCCGTCAGGAGATTTGCTCCGATACCAAATTGGTACTCAATATACAAATGTCGCAGTCAGGAGATTTGCTCCGATACCAAATTGGTACTCAATATACAAATGTCGCCGTCAGGAGATTTGCTCCAATACCAAATTGTAATGAACCCAGATCGTGAGACAGTTGTCAACAATGCAAGTCCAGATAAATGTCCATCGGCTGATGATTATTAATAGTCAAAAA